CTCCCTCCTCTCTCTTCCTGCTGAGAGCATGGCAGCGCCTGCCACCGGCCTTCAAAGATTAGACTACTGCTTTAGGACTTCTAAGGTCTTCAACCCACCGCTGCCCGAAGGAAAATGTGTCCGCTGAGCCAGCCTCTCTACCCCCAGACCAGAAAAACTCTTCTCGTTTCTTCTTCGGAATTGGCCCGGCTGTCGGTTACCTTAGCTACTGTTAGTGATTCATTTGAGACCTGCCAAGCTGCAACGAGGTGGGAAGGGGGATACCCAGTCCGAACCGACAGGAGGCAGAGCCTTTTAGGGACCTGGCCTACCTATTTCCATCATAAGTTTGGTTTGTGTTAGCCTCTTAGGGATTTCTCCAGTGAAAAAGGAAGGAAGGAAGGAGAAGACTCAAGTGCAGTTACAATAGTAAAATAGTATGATTTGACCCAAAGGATTCTGACCGACAGGAGAAAAGTGGGGAGGACTTCACCTCCATGGGGTAATTTATTCTACTAATAGAGAGGACATAAAGAACCGCTTTGCCTGCAGTGACCCGATGAAATACAACTCAGACTATTAAATCAACCTGCAGAAGAGTCCTTTTGCATATTGAACCTTAAAAAACATATAACCCTAATCCTTGAAATCTTTTGCTAGAAGCCCTCATTTTCTTAGAATTATCTCAGTAGTGCTGAGGAGGGGCCATCTGGATGTGTTGTTATTCATTTCAGCCAAGTAAGGTATTTAAAAGAATGGAAACTACCAAACTGAATAGTTAACTGGTCAAGGAGAGTGCTTCTTCAGAAATAAAACCAAAGAAGGGGGGGGGGGGATAGAAAAAAGAAAGAGAGGCTTTAACTTTGTAACTCTGTTTTCATGATCAGTTTGATTAGTAGGTTTCCTTTAAAAATCTCTGGTTTCGATACTTTGTTTTCAGTTTTTGATTTGTCTATTTAGAAAAATGGAGCAAGTAGACATCTTTCATAATGCCCTGATCTTTAAAAAAATGTCTGTTTCCCAAAAGGGTGTGACCATTTCTTCCACTTAGAAGAGCAGATATTTGTACATCTTAAGTTTAAAGTTCTACACCCCTTGAGTACTGATACAGATAAGAACCCACCATTTATACTGTAGCCATTTAAAGTCCTTTAATTTGAAGTAGTAAAAAGGATAAGCTGCAAAAACAGTGTGCCTTTTCTTTAAAGGAACCACTCACTTATTTAGCACTTTTCTGAATGCCAAGACTCATAATTTAAAATTGGATTTTGAACAAATATAAACAAACTCATACATACAGACATCAGAAAAAAAGTTTTTAATAAAAATGGATTTTGACCTATAAAACTTTCATGGCAATATTTACAGAATCTTTGGAAAGGAAAAAGAAAGTCTCACAGCCCCCTCCCCCCCCTTAATCATTCTCATATCTTTTTACCCAGCATTGTAATCACTGTACATATTACTTTGTGTTCTGCTTTTTCCACCTATAATGTCCCATGAATTTTTCTAGGCTGCCACATAGTCCTCATACTTAAAATTTTTAGTGGCTGTGTAATTTATCCATGGTATTTTAGAGGCTCAAGATAGTTCTATGAACAGAGGGGAAAAGTTGGATATTTTTTTTAGTGGAAATTTCATCTGTTAGCTCTTTTAATCCTGCCATTTTATATACTACATTTTTTCCTAAAGTAAAAACAAAACAAACAAAAAACATTCTTTCCATTTGAGTTTGATCTTTTTTCCTTATGTAGACCAGGTATGGGAAGATACTTTCTGTAATACCTTTAATTACTAATCATAAGTTCTTTTCTTATTTACTCTTTATGCTTTTCCAAGGTCAGGTTTTTCCTTTTAATCTTACATGATAATTATATGTTCTAGGAAATGGTTAATGATCTTAACTATGTTCTTGTCATGTTGTTATATATACCTGAATTACTAATGATATGCCCTAGGTTGGGAGCATTTTCTTTTTCTTAGTCTCTTCCAGCCATTCCCTACTGCTTACCCACAACCCTCCCCTCAGCATGTGGTAACTATTTGTTCTTTTGCTGTTAGGTTCTAGCCATTTTGGAAGGTCTGAAATTTTAGAACAGCTGGTGAATTTTCCTTAAAACTTAGTCTTTCATTTGCTCATATATGGGAGCCATAAATGTCTGTTTTCTGTCGCACTGATGATTAAATAGTTTTCTTTGATTGTCAGCAGACATCTTAGTTCCCCAGATCCTTTCAGCAAAGTGATGTTAGGGTTTAACTTGCAGCTTATTTTTATGCAGAATAAAGTGAAATGTATTTTTCAATTCTCTACAGCTGGAGGGCAATTGTTTTGATCTCTTCTCAAAATAACTGCTTATTTCTCTGGTCTCTGTTATATTCAACTTGAAACACTGCAAAACAAAAGTTTTTTTCCTGCTAGATGATTCAATTCTATTGGTGTTGCAACAGGCATAAGTTGTGCATTTGGTTGGGAGGTTTTTTTCCCTAATAGGCATGGAATCATTCCCAGTATATCCACTTACAGGCTCTGACAATAAATCTTGTTGTGAAAAGTTTCTGTGACTGGAACTTTTCACTAATGTATACTGTTGAGTATGTGAATATAGTATTTCACCTAGGACTTAGTGACTTCTTACTGCACACCCCTTAGGTCATGGATATGTGCTCTTTTAAAATTAGTCATACCTGTTACTTGCAGTCAGCTTTGGATAGATGGAATTAAGTTTGAATCAAGGACCATATAAAAATCATATGAAATTCAAGCATTTGTGCTATATCTGTTTCAAGTGTTCCTTTGCAGACGAGTTTTATATACATAGTGTCATAAGTGTTAATACTACATTTATACAACGGTATCTTTAGTGTATACTAGGATGGAACTCTAATATTTTAAAATGTCCATGTATCCTTATAAGACAAAAACATGATTTTTAAAAGTGGGGTGTTTTTGTTTTTTTGTATAATAGTTCTTGATAGTTTTGTCTGTGTTCTGCTATTTTCTTGTATGTTTTGTTTTGCTATGAATCAAAATTTCCTCTTATTCAGTGAATAGCAGAGTAAGCTTGTCACTACTACTAAATCTGGGTAAATTAAGGGCATCAAGGAGAAAGTGAGCCATCGCCCCAATAAGTTCAATAAAAAATAAAAAGATTCAAAATAGTTTTATGTTTGAAGTTATTTTCTTAAAATGAATTTTTTATTGAAGGAAATACTTTTTAAACATCAAAGCAAGTCACTTTTCTAGCTATAGCAAAACACATGTACAGATAGGGAACAGAAGGATTTTTTTAAAATAAGAAGAGTTGTTTCAATGAAACACCCTAAGTCTGTAATTTAAAATCACAGAGCATTTGAAAAAGTGAAATTTTCCCTTGAGTGTTGCTTTTTCACGTCCTATAGTTAGCTTTGCTTACTGGTATCTGCATGCCTCTGCCAACATGTATCAGTAAAAGGTAATATTTTGGCTTACAGATTTAGGAAGTAAACTTATGCTTTTTTATGACCTGTGTTCCAAACATTTATTGGTATTTTAACTAAGGCATAACCTTTTCATATGTCCATGAGTATATTTTACAGGTCTAATTTGGAAAAGGAATGACTTTTAGGGGAGTCTTTAATTGTGGTTGGAAGCTAAGGAAGTACTTTTGGGTGAAACGATAGCAACATCGCCTGTGAGAGAGCAGGCTGAGAGAATGGAAGGGGCATTTAATACTCAAAATGCCACAAAAGCAGTGCATTGACTTCTATGATGAATTGTTTCTTTCCTGATCTCCCTTCCTTTTCACCTTCCTCATGGGCCATTTGAAGCATATGATGATAGTTATTTTGAAATAATAAAAGGGGACAGAAACCATCAACAAAATTAAAAGGCAATCTACTGAATGGGAGAAAATGTTTACAAATCATATATCTGATAAGCGATTAATATCCAAAATATCCAAAGAACTCATACAACTCAATCAGTAGCAAAAAACAATAACAATCTGATAAAAAAAAAAAATGGGCCAAGGATCTGAATAGACATTTTTAAAAGAAGCATACAGATGCCCAACAGGTACATGAAAAGATGCTCAACATCACTAATCATCAGAGGAGTACAAATCAAAACCACAGTGAGATATCACCTCATACCTATTAGAATGACTATT